GCGCTGCGAATAGCTAGCGCTATTCAGATAGGAAAAAACCATCACTGTTTTCAATTGATTCATACCTTTGAGCATAATGAATTTTGCAGCAACAATATCGCGGTGCCAAACAACTGTCTGTGGATCAGCGTCATCATCCTGAACATTTAATGGCCAATTTTTATAGGTAACATTAACCTTTGACATTAAACGCCCATTCCGAAGTATTCTCGCCACATCCTGATAATTGCCATTGCGAATTCGAAGCTTAATTTCCTTCCGTCCCTTTTGCAAAGCACGTTTACTAACCGTTGCCACAATTATGGCATCTCCGATGCACCAAAGATAATCATTGACGGCATGTTATCATTTACTTGGTTCGACTTCATGTAATGATTAAAATCCAGTCGTGAATATTTGCGCGTAGCATATGCTGACATTCCTTTTCGTAGCATTTTGATGCGATACTCAATGTACCATTTCCATGTTGAATTACGCGGTGATGGTGGACCGAATGGGTATGTCTTCAGATGATTCTTTTCTTCGATAATTAAACCATCCAGCCAATTTTTTCGCCTCTTTTTCTCTTCGTTTCTGCCGAGTTTCCCAGTAGAATCGCGTGTTTGGTATTGTGATGTTTTCCTTCAAAATTTAAATTGATAAAAAATATTGAGTTTCGATTCAAACACATTTCAAATTAGATTTCAAAATATCTCACCTCAACGGCCGGTTCATCAGGTGTTTTTCGGATGTTGCGACGCGTTATAGCCAACAACGTTTTTCATTCGGATCGATGCCAATAACGTATTTCTTGCCTACAAGATTGTCCGCCTGTAAATGCACATTTTCGTTGCACGCCTGCTCTAGTTTGGTGTACAGTGCCGATACGGAAACACTATTGGTAACGATTTGATGATGGAATTGTTTGGATCGTTTGCCCAATTGCTTGATTTTATCGACGTCGAACAACAAATTCCATAGTCCATCTCGATCATGATCTCTGTAGTATTTTTCGGGGTATTTATTTAGCCGGTTGGTCTCAGTATTCAGGAATCTGGGCACCACTTTTAGCTTGCTTGCCAATTTGTTATACAAATCTCTCATATGCAATCGCACGAACTTCAAATGATAATCGCATAACGGTACAAGAACAAAACTGTTTATTTTCCGTGGGCGATTGTTTGTTGGCTGTTGAAAGTTAGGATTGTCACGAAATATTTCATGAATGGTATTCCATTGTGCGGCATCACTGTGATAAGCTTCTATTTGATGTTAAATTTGTCCGAACAACCACAACGATTCAAACCAATGATCCTTTACAAAATATTTCATGCATTTTCCGCGTCGCCATCCAATTGCGACCAGATCATCCAATAAAATGTTGGCATTTTCTATTCTTTCCACATTACCATTCGTCAAGTCGTTGGATCGATAAGCTAACATTTTGGCATTTCTGATGTCGATACCATCAAATCTCGGTCCATTGATGTTGTGATTGCGATACCAGCATCGCATTCGAAAGAATGACTCAAGTCGATCTTCACACCAAGTGGTGAGATTGGTTTTCGTATTTGCGATGTGCTGTTTGACAAAATAACGAAAACCATTCTCCAACTTTTCCTTGCTTGGCCATTCGAACTGTTCATCACTGAAGTTTTCGACCATGAACCGAAACTCTGGCGCTATGGGATTTCGGCTATTATTATTTTAAATATTTTTGGCTAATACCGCATTAAAGCAATCGAAGAAGAACTGTCGACGATCCCGTCGCAAAAAGAACTGACGATCTTCATTATCGAGTGCTTCATTCACCTAGAATAAAATCAATAAAATGTCTTACATCCGTAAGATGAACTTTTCCGCACTGTGATCCACAATATGCATCTATTACGTATCTTTTACCGTAAATATGAATTCATGAGAAAACTGAATCTGATATAAATTTTGCGATACAAATAATTTTGATAGACTTTTCAATGCCTGTATGATATCGTTATCATGTGAAAATTTGCAGATGTTATTTTTTTCACAATAAGCTAACATTCTGAAAGTTTGAAGAAATTTCAATACAATTGAGTGGTACCTTCCATACAAAATTTTTGTTTTTGAGTAGAAAATCCTAAATGTTGTTCGGGAGGTACCCACTGAAATCTCTTCAAACCCTCGGAATGTTATTTTTGTGTGGAAAAATAAACTTGTGCAAAGTTTCAGCTCATTACGATATCATACAGGCATGGCTTTCATACAAAAATCCAAATTTTTTGAATTTTTCGTATAAAAATTGTGTCGAAAATGAATTGTATCGCAAAACTAACGTCATATTCGGTTTTCTCGTACCCAAAAACCCCCCAATACATATTTTTGAGTGTTTAAGAAAACATTAAATATCATTTTTGGAAGAAAAATTGATTTTTTCCCATGGATGGCCATGGGCATCACACCAGACATGACACTTCACTGTATCAACCAAAGTCGCTCAAGATCTAATGGTTTCTATTCCTCGGCACCCCCAATCATCCTGCGAAGTCAGATTTTGAATTACTTTCCTTGTTTGAAAGTTATCGTGTTAACAAATTTTTGCGTACAGGGTACAGGATACAGGGTACAGGATACAGGCTACAGGGTACAGGGTACAGGGTACAGGGTACGCACATACATTCGGACATCGAAAAAACGCTAGATTCGTGTTCCCTGGCCCCAAAAACACCCAGAAAACACATTTTTGATGGGTGTTAATTTTTCGACCGATTCCAATACTTTACCTTACACACTAGGTGTGTGCGGAAAAGTAAAAGTGAGGCCAATGAGGCAACTTCCGTCATTTGAAGACTGCGCTCAAACAATATTTGCGTAACAACTGCTGCATGCTCGGGTCGAAGTATTGTTTGCAAGCCACATTTTATTGCAACGAAATTATTTTCTTCTTCTCTTTCGTCATCGTATACGTATACCGGCGAATCGTTGTTATTTTTTTTCTTTTCATTCTTGAAGAACTGATACAAATAAACGAAAATAAGAAAATAGACACAAATTTAGAAAAAAATGCACCAAATATAGCATAGATCACAAACACAATAAGATAAAAACACTTCTATCACAAATCAAATGAAACAGTAATCAAGAACGCATTATAAATATCACGTCTTACCTCAAAAAAGTGATTCTGTGTTCTAAATCGAATGATGAAATTTATTTCCAATGTGACATCAAATATTTTTCCGATCGAAATGTTGTTGGAATATTCACAGTAAATTTATCAACACTCTGTTATTTCGAAATTAAAACAAAAATGAACACAAAATCAACTGTGAATATATCCATTCCTCAGCGAACAGCGTTCCGAACACACAAAATCGTTGAAAGAAATCCTCTTAAAAACAAAACAAAGTTTTATTGTAAACAAAATCGGTTGGTGCGATTGTAGTTTCAAATTGATGGAAGTTGCTTATACTAACAATACTGTCACACGATGCGAGCACATTTTTAATACATTTTAACGTTTTTCATCCATTTTAACGTTGAAAAATGTAACGCTTTAACACTTTATTAATGTGCATAGTTTCAAATAAAATGTACGAATTCCAATGGAATGACTTCCATTTGTTTCATTCACTTCCAATACCATTTCGTTATTAATAATGTAAACACAGCCCAATACGGTAAGTTTTAAATTGTAACGATTCATTTGTTGCCCAATAATAAAAAAATAAACAATCCGTTTGGAGAGATATTTGTGTTATTTGATTTAAAATTAAGATCATTTTTAGACGTCATTTACTGCATTACTTTTTTTTATTTCATGAATAAAATTTCAATTTCAAATTTTCGAACCTGAAACGAATTTCGAATGTGTATGACTTTTGACAGCTGGTGGCTGTGTGTCAGTCACATCGAAGTCGATCATCATTTGTTTACATTAAAAAATGTGCTTCGTAATCTCCGCATCACATCATATTGTGACGGTGTTTTTTTATACAATTGGTTCCTTAAATAGAACGCAAAATGGGTCGACACAAGACGACCGATCCGAACAAGGATCTAAGGTCCATCAAACAGGGGCTGCCGGGAATACTTTGTCCAGAATATCGTGACATTCTATGTAGTCCAAATAATCACAATTCTGTCGATTAAGGCCACAAAAATAGCAAATTTGGCATCGTTGCTATTTTTGATGATGGTGAGATGAAATTCAATTATTATTGTGTATTGTTCTTGAAATTAATTTTTTAACTAGAATTTCGATGTGTATTGCAATGAATTGATTTGATTGTTTTCTCTTTGTGTGTGTTCGTTTGTTGAATAGGTGAACGAAAACATTAGAGACAATAATGGTGAGGAATTTTTCGAACAGGATGGGAAAAAGGTAATCCAAAATTGTTTTAGAGCCGTGCTCTTGGCCAACATTGAGAATGTGTCGCTGATGTTACCGGATTTTCGCCACATCGCAAATTTCATCGTATGAATCGCATTTCATTGAATGGCCAACTAACAATGGCTTCGGCGCAGCGTTTACGTATCTGTGGGAGCAGTATATGGATAACGTCAAAACAAATCTGACTACCCATTGCAAAAGCCGATTAAAGAAAATCTTTAAAATGCACGTGTTTGAATTGAACGATTTTGCAACGCAGTACAATTATTTCAACGATCGGTTTGGTGACGGTGACGCATTGCCATATTACGACAATGTTGACATAACAAATGCCGTCAACTACACATATCATCGCAGAAATACCATCAATGGCGATGAACAGCGTGAATTGCGACTGGGCGAGTTGTTAGATGAGCTACTTTTTGTTGGTGCACCAGACGATTGCAACATCAAGGATTTCCTTAAGAATGACTGGTTCAAATCCATTCGCATGTGGACATTCATTCAGCGCTCTATCCGGATGTTTCATATCACGTACAAAGATCGCCGTGATAAGCCACGATTCCGGAATTTCGTTGTTGTACCGATGTGTGATTTCCAACGGCGACACATTCGGATCGATACAGATGCATTATACAACATATTAAGCCATATAAAAGTTGTGCCGGGAAAATTTTGTAAACAAAAATCCAAAAAAGGAACGCCAAATTGGATCAACATTGAGAAGAAAGAATTCAGTAAAAACAAACATGGGAGTAGGAATCTGTTTTTCAATGTGGAGAAAATGTTTAAATTGGTGAGCAACAAAAAGGATTTTGATCACCAGATTTGTTCGGATGGCGTATCTGTATCGTTTTTGTACAGAAAGCCAAAAGTACAGCCAGTCGAGAAAAGGGACGCTGAAATCAAGGCAATGTACGATAGCAAACAATTGAAGTATGCTATTGGAGTTGATCCGGGGCATGAGTACGTGGAACGCTTCAGTACGACGTGAGATTGAAATCAACGAAGAGGTAAATTTGTGTTTTTTTTTACAATGAATCAAAGTGATTGATATTGATATTGTGATTGTGATTTCGAATACAATGTTGTTTTTGTTGTTCTCATTTTGTTAGGTGAATTTGTGTATATCCAGCAAACGATATCATTGGGACGCAAAACAAAATCGTCGTGATGCGAAAGCCGAAAGAATCACACGATTGTTTACATTCGAAGAGCAAGCTGATCGTAATCGAATTGCAGCTATGATTGGTGAAATGCCATCGCCAAAAGGACCATTATGGCGTTCATACATTGCACATCGACTTCGAATGATGAACAACGGAATTGAAACGTATTCGGCCAAACAGTATGCACGATTGGGACTCAACTAACACATTGAATCGGTACGTGCGATGGACAAAACGACATGTAAAATGGTACGAAATGAACCATCCGTTTTCTACATTGAAGCCGGCGGATCAACACCAGCCAATTCATGTACGCTGTCCAGACACGCGCAAACTCATTGCATTGATCATGAAACGTGGCAATTGCATCATTCGAATGATCGACAAATACATGACATCACAGCATTGCCCATTGTGTTTCAAGTGAATTCCACTGGCAACTCGAGGCGATCGATACAAGAAATGTGTGGGTTGTGTACCAAATCAAGTTGTTGACTTACCAACACTCATTGTAACCAATATGAGCAAACGATTACTACAAATGTTACGAACAATTGAACGAATGTGGCGCGAGATACGAGATATGGGCGATGTTATTGCTGCAACTCTTTGAGATGGACCGAATGCAGCTCGTGTGGTGTCAAAGAAGCAATGCTTCTTCAAAACATGGCTACCAAATGTTGCAAACGTTGAAATCGAGGGAGCTGCTGGAGTACAACCAACGCTCACACATACAGATGTGCATGTGTACATGCATCGTGATATCGCCACAGCGAAGCTGATCCTGTACAAAGGTATGCAATGTGATGAAATTGATACAAATTGTAAACGAATTGATAATAATGTGTTTTCGTTATTTCATTTGGTAGGTGAATGCGTGGTGTTCAAGCGGACAATCCAAATGTACGCAAACTACTCCGCGTTGTCAACCATCAACCTTTACCAGTGTATCGCGGTCAGAATCAGAATGTCAACAATGGACAACTGCAGCCGTAGTAGTGGCAGCCCTCATTCAACAAAAACAACATCATTCAATCAAATTATAATTTAGAAATTAGTTTATAACAATTATTTGTTAGTCCGCTAGGCTTGATTAAATTGTGGCCTTGCCCCAGTACAAGTATTCTTGTAGGTTAGTATAGTGTACTGAATAGGATATCAAGTCAATTTTTGTATCATACTAATTGATTTTTT